AAGTATTAATACTGTCACTTCACGTTTGATAGTGGTGGACCCCTGATCTTGTGGACCCTAATGTAATGGTTGAACATTGCAGGTAATAAGAGTCTCATGTCTAGCGGCACTGATCCACAAGCTGATGTTTCCAGATACAAGCATATGATTGGTACTCTTCCTGCTTCAGCAGAAGTCATCATAATATGCTTGTGTAACAGGGTGTTTTGTTATGTTGGATTTAAATCTTTTGTTTTTTCTCACCAAGTTTTTGAGTACTTAATTTGAGGCACTGTTCTAGGTAGACAAAAATCCTTTTCTCATGCTTTTCGCCAAGTAGAATGTTTATTTCTATTATGATATGTAAGTACTTTCATGATAAAATGAACTAGGCATGGTGCCACACACTGGTAATCCCAGCACTCTAGAGGCTGATGCAGGAGAATTGCGAGTTCAAGGCCAGCCTGGACTTTACAGTGAGACCCTTTCTCAAAAACAAAAAAACCAGATAATGCACTTCGCCATAAATGGGTTGAGAGGGCATACACATTTCTATAAAAGAGGTTAAAATGTCCACAAACTTAGTGGATAGCATCAGAGAATCGAAGAAGTCTACATTATTAGATGTCCTGTGAAACATTAGGAATAGAGGAAGTACTCATACTGAAAAGGAATTTATTGTAACTAAGAAATGCTTCTCATAGAGAAACTTGAAAAACCTTAGGAAAGTTTTTTTGAGTGACATATTTTGATTCTACAAACTATTCCCTGACTAGCACGATGAAACAAGGGATCATGTTGAAGTGTGTCCTGACGCTGGGGTTATCATCCAGGAGCTGTCTGAGCGCATTGCACTCACTGGAGGTGCTGCACTGATTGCTGATTATGGTCACGATGGGACAAAGACGGACACCTTCAGAGTATGTATAATCCGGTAATATGATCGATCAGTTTCATTGTTAAATTTGAAGCTCACTGAAGATCTTGTCTTTCGTTTTCAGTGCCTAGCATTGTTGTATATTTTAAGCCAGGTGTGGTGGTGCACGCCTGTAATCCCAGTGCTCGGGAGGCTGAGGCAGGACGATCACTGCGAGTTCGAGGATAGCCTGGGCTACATAGTGAGGTCAGGGCCAGTCTGGACTACACAGCAAGACCCCATAGATACAGTATAAAAACAGCCTAGGTTCTGATTACCAAAATTCATTGGGAGAGTAAATAAGATCATTTGTATCCCATCATCACAAACATAGTAAAAAATGTTAAATAACTTTAAGGTCAGCATCTTGAGACACTCCTCACTTTTGCACTTTATATTGGGTTTTCCTTATAGCCTTATTTGCAAAAAGGTATTACTGCAGAGTCTAAGCCACAGATGTAGGCCCCATTTTCAACAACTGCAGTAAATGTGTACTAATATGATAGCATTTGATCTCAGTAAAGGAGAGTGCAAAAACTCATTTCTTTTATATTGAAGGGATTTTGTGGCCACAGGCTTCATGACGTCTTAATTGCCCCTGGAACAGCAGACCTAACGGCTGATGTGGACTTCAGTTATTTGCGCAGGATGGCACAAGGAAAAGTAGCTTCTCTGGGTCCAATAGAACAGCAAACATTTTTAAAAAATATGGGTATTGATGTCCGGCTGAAGGTAATTATTTATTTCACCATTAAATATTATTTCATAGTACTATGCTTCAGTCTTTTCAGTAGTGTAGGATTTTGGGTAATCGGATAGCTGGAGGGTAGCACAGCCTGGTAACATTCATGAGAGGTAGAGTAAAGGTTTCCCAATAGTATCCCAGTTCATGTAAAAAACATGTTCATCCATATGAAGACTATTAATGTTCTTCCAAGGACACTTAAATTTAAGCAAACTGGGGATATTCATTAAGAATATAGAGCCATACGTTTAGGTTACAGCGAACTACAGTTTCAGTAGCTATCCTGTGAACCTTGGGCAGGTAATCAGAATTCACATCTTAAGCAGTGGTGTATTGGAATATTTGAGAGTCGTTAGTAGTGTTATATCTACCTATGAATTTTTCTTTCTTTTCTCTCTCTCTCTCCTCCCTCCCTCCTTCCTTTCTTATTTAAGAAATGTTTTCTTCTCAGGTTCTTTTAGATAAATCGGCTGAGCCATTAATGCGGCAGCAGTTACTTCAGGGGTATGATATGTTAATGAACCCTCAGAAGATGGGAGAAAGATTTAACTTCTTTGCCTTGCTACCTCATCAGAGACTTCACGGTAGAAGTCATCACATAAACACGTGCCAGTCAAAGCCCTCCGCATCACCTGTGGCTGGGTTTAGTGAACTGGCCTGGCAGTGATATTTCAGCTTGGAGTTTTTATCCTTCAACCTGCCTAAGAAATCAAAATAAAGGGAACATATTTCATACATTAAAGGTAACCAAAGTCCTAATGTATTTTATCTCTTCAGTCAATAAAAATAGCCCATGTTATATATAATAAAATTATAGAACTTTTAGGTTTGTAACTCTTGGTACAAATGTATGTTCCCAATTTACTTAACTGCTACTGAGAAATTGAGTTTCCTTTTAATAGAGCTAGTTGTATTTTTATTTTATTTTTAAAAGTACATATGAATACTGACTGGTTTAATAAAAAATACTTTAAAAGAGGGGGTAGAATAGGGTCTCTGACACAGATCTCTAAGATCTTACCAAGTGAAAAAGTAGGACACCAAAGTTTCTACAGTTACTCTGTTTTTGTTGAAAGTTACCTTTACATACTTGCAAGTAATTTCATAGGACTAACATAAATTTAGTTATAATTATCAAATTTGGTATGCAATTATAAGGTTGTTTTAAAATACACCATTAGTTACATCTACAAATACTCTTTTCAAAATAGTTCTATTACCAAGACTGAGGAAAATAATGCAGCCAAGTAAGATTTTCCGTGGGTATCTCTATTAGACTTAGGCCAAGATTTTCACGTGAAAGTATAATGATACAGAAATACATTTTATTATCAAGCTTTCTGAGAATATTTACAAAAAGTGGCATGTAACAAAAAATATAAAAATGTACTGAACAGTGTCATTATAGACTACTTTGTACATTATCAAATGTTTCTAGCAAACAGTTATTTCTTACACAAACACAATTTGACTTCAAGACATTTTGTTATACAGTATCTGGAGTAATTACTCAACTCCAAATTATCTGACAGTGCCTTTAAAAATTTTATTTAAAAACGTAGGCATTCAACAAAAAGAGTGCAATTAATTTCATGGCTTGAAAAGTTTACATAAGTACAGCAAATGAACATAATTCCAGTTAATTTTCACCATATGCAGTAAAACCACAGTAGGTTGCCTGGCAACTCAAAATTAATCCATTTTGTGTACACTGATATAAAGACAAACTCTGGAGAAATTGGGGATGTCATCACTGATCACAGGGAAAATTCATTTATAAAAAAAGATTCTCAAAATTAGTTTGGTTAAATCTTTACAGCTGCTATGTGAGGATATGCTATGTAATATATGGAATATCTCCTAGAGATATGTAGTGTAGCATAATGGCCAGGAGGGTTCATACTAAGTGCGTGGACCTCAGCAGCTAATCCCCTATGCCTCAGTTTCTTTATCTCTAAAATGTACAATGTACTTCTGATGTGACTACTATGAGGATAAATTAAAACGTATTTAAAAACTTAGAACACAGAGGCATTGCATAATGTTTCTCTTACTCTCTTAAGGATATTTTTAGTCCTAGATGAACAGCTTCAAAGAGCTCTAAAGACCTTTTAGTCTGTTCACATAGGTCATACTTTCGTTCTCCCAAACTCAGTAGGCAAGTTAACACTTTTATACTTTAAAATTATTAAACACATTCATATACATCTCATCCCTATGACTGCACTTTGAAGAAGGTGGAGGAAAGAATTACGATCTTTATTTTACAAACCAAGGAACTAGACTGACATCTGCTTCAGCTAACACGGCTAGATAACAGTGCAGCTGAAACACTTAAACCCAGATCTTCTGACTGTAAATCCTTTCCTTCAGAGTGGAAGAGGAAAACAAAAAACTAAAACAAAAACTAAAACACAGGTTCCTGGTGATTACTGAGGAACGATCAAATAAAAAGCCACTATGTTTCCTGTGAGTTTATGGTCCCAGATCTTAAATGTTCTCTGGGGAAATACAGACTGAGCGTCCCTAATGTGAAAATCTGCAAGCACCATCACTTGCAAAGCTTTGGGTTTAGAGCACTTCAGAGTTAAAGATGTATGTAAGTGTCCCCAAGTCTGAAAAACACTGAAGCATGAAACATTTCTGGTCCCAGGCATTTCAGATTAAGGGATACGCAACCTGCATTAGTAAATATTTTTAAAATAGTTTGTTGCTCGAGCTGATATGTAAAAAGTTCTTATTCATTGCTTACTCTGCTATATTGATGATACAGTTGAACTTCTATAAGCTGTTTCTTGTGTACCTCTATCCACTCCAGATGGCTTAAAATTAAATAGTTTTAAAACATTCCAGACATTGTAAAGCTGTCCAGTAGGCTAAGGGAAAAGAAAGACAGACACACTTTGCTACATAGTGACGGCAGAATTAACTGGCCCTTCATTGACCTTCCTTTTTATTTATTTATTTTTCTTTTTGAGACAGGGTCTCACTATACAGTTCAGGCTGGTCTTGAGCTCCCTTTGTAGCCCAGGCTGGCCTCAAACTCCCAAAGATCTTCCTGCCTCAGCCTCCCAAGTGCTAGGATTACAGCTGTGTGCCACCATGCCCTTCCTTTTAATATATACTTTTTGCTTTCAAATTATTCAACCCTAGGTATAAATAAATAATGTAACTGAAGTTTAGATAGGCACCCACTGAATGTCAGTATACAATGTGGCATCACATGAATGTTGAGCCCAGCTGGGCTGTGAGAAGGCACACATAACTATTTAGCACTTAGGAACAGTTCCTACAGGGTTGTATGTTTTGTAATACCAGTCACCCCCCCATCTTACAGCTATTACAGCATACTCACAAAGGTGATAATTTGAGTTTTTATGTTGTAGAGACCATATTAAGAGCTACAGTTCCAAAAAAATATTAGAAATCACTGTTTTAGAGTCTTGACTGACATAAAAAGAAAGGTAAAATAGTCCAGTGCTCCTCTTATATGTATCTAGGAAAAACTTAAATATTTTGGTGGTCAGTTAGATAAGTCATTCAAAAGTACTTTTGTAAATCATATACTGTTAGCCTCACAGTTAACGCTAAATGTGGTAACTGGATGCTAGCTTGGCTTTCTTAAAAAAATGTGTAAGATTAGGAAAGGGAAGATAAATTAAATGGCATTATTGTACTTGAAAGGGAAGGATTAGGAAAAAATACAAAACTAGTTATTGCTTATGCTACAAAAATTTATAAAAAGCTTCATCTTGATTCTTTCGTGTTTTCACTACCAGTGTCCTTTCCTGTACCTACTCATGAACTACAGTACTGGTGTCACCAATGCCTTCTCACGTTTCCTCATGTCTTTGCATCCTTGCAGATGACAACCTACAAGGAACAACAGTTATGCAGCAAAATATTAGTTCATAAAATGCAACTTTTTGGAGTTAGTTCACGGATAATTAAGGATCTTCTTCCATGTCGTCCGGATTGGGAGCCATGATGAAGTGCTTTGGGTACACCAGGTTGTGTGTGTACGCGTGGATTTCCCAACGAGCATCATCACTTTCATGTGTAATATAACGTTCTCCGATGCGAGTTTCAAATTCTCTAAGGTCAAGCCACGTCTGATAGTCCTAGGAAAAAAAAGTAATGCATATGAACTGAAAAACAAAACGCTGGCAGCCATTTTTTTGCTTAGCACACTATTCATAATTGATCACTCCCCCTGATAAGTTTTTGCTACACAAATTCGAATTGTAATATTTTAAGTTAGCAATGTTGAAGATAAACACTCCTTCAAATCCAGGATCTCTAAAAAATGAAAGTAGTTTCTAATGAAATTTAAAAAATAAAAACATGTTTCAGGGTTTTGAAAGAGCTAATAATCACTAAAACGTTTTGTTTTATACTGCTAGGAGTCCCAAACCCAATCCTTTGTTAATTCTACCCTTTACTCCCTTTGAAATAGTTCTAAGGCTTCTCTCCTTACCTGGAAACATTTTTGTGTTGGCTTTTAAAATTAGTACACGTGTGTTATACATAATGACTACTTTCATTGTACATGTACATGACACATTTTAATTCTTTTAAATGTCCCTTTCCCTTCCTCACCTTCCTACTTTCCTGTATCTCCTGGTCCCCATCCCATTGCAAAAGATCTATTGCCTTGTTTTCTTTTATCTATCTTTTATTTTCACTTTGTAGCCTAGGCTGGCTTCAAACTCCCAACGAATGATCCTCCTGCCTCAGCCTCCCGAGTGCTAGGATTACAGGTGTGTGCCACCATGCCACCATGCCATTCCTTTTAATATATACTTTTTGCTTTCAAATTATTCAATTGGTTGAATATTGAATTATTCAACCAATATTCAATAATATTGCAAATTATTCAACTGTTTTTATACTCTGAATTTCCCGTATGAGTATTAAGCTTCTGCATCTGGTTTATTTCACTTCACATGTTTCTGAGGTGTATGCATTTTGACAAATCTATGCAAGACCTTTTGCTGGAACCAAGCCAAACACATTTTAGATGATGTATGTGGGGGTCTTTTTGTGGACATTTAAAATGTAGTTGACAAAACTGTATGTCCTGTTAATATTACAATAAAGTGAAATTAATATACAAAGCCCTAAAGAAGACTTAAGTCAGTGCTTTCAGTTCATGGGAGTAACTGATTGCTTATCAATGCTGATCTGAATGATATACCACATAACTTCAGAGCTGCAGCCATACAAATCAATGAACTGCTTACATGAGCATCACCAGAGATTTTTTTACCTGTAGCCAGGGATGGCTAAGAGATTTGTCAACACTGTAACGTTTCCTCATCTTCACTTGAAGCAAGTTGTTTATCAAATCAATTGCTAAGGGAAAAATACAAAATTAGGTACATAAATTTGGGTGTGTAAAGTTCCCCAAACCTGTGGTCTGCCCACAGGGTGACTACTTTATAGAAATGCAGCATTGAGGCAATTCTGCCTCTAAAATTCGTAGACTTTTCAACATGTAAAGTGGTCCATAAATGCTTGCTGAATTAAGTATTCCTGTGAAATTTTCCTTCGATTAAGAGGGCTGTATAGAGTATGGGTTCACAATACATACTCTGAAGCCAGACTCATGGACTAAAACATACCATGTCTTCTTACCAGTGATGCAGTATGGGACCAGTGACTTAAACTACATTGTGCCTTGGTTTTCTCATCTGCAAAAACGGACTTGTTCAGAAGATAAAATCAATGTAATATATGTAAAGGTCTTAGAACAGTCCCTAGCATCTAAGTGCTATATATTATCTGCTGTACTTTTAAGATGAATCAGACAGACTGATTATGGGCTTATTTATCTCTTCCAGTGATACCATGTTCCTCTCTATTCCCAGTATAGTTTGGAAGAGCAGCCAAAGTCTTGCATCTATGGCTATGATTGGAATGAGGTGATAACTTAAGACCAAAAGTTTACACTCCACAGGTTTTAATAAATAGGTTCAGGGTGTTTTAGTGTAAATGGTGAGAACTTGTCATACATTTTTAGTACGTACTTGGATAAATGGATCAACTGTAAAACCAAGGCAACTATAAAAGTACATATTGACTCCAGTCCCGCATCATGATATATTTGCAGCACAGATATGAAAGTCTAAGGAACCCTTTAGAGACTGAGTACCCAAACTGCAACCCAAAATCTTTATTTGTTGCAAAGTACCAATCCTGCAGTTAAACCTGAGTACTGAGGCTTTAGTTTAGAAAACCAGTTCAAACTTGGCTTGTGTACTGAGAGCTGTGTGCCTGCTGTGGCACATGTACCTTAGGTTTGTCACCAGTAGTCTAGGCCCACAAACAAGCCAAACGAAAGACATGTATATACTAATTCTACTTGTCTTCTATTACATACCATCAAATAAGCAAGGATCTTCCATAAGTACTTTAATTATGAATTTCTCTGTGTTCCAAACATTACAAAGTGTTCCTCAGACTGTGGTTCACTATTTGCATTATTTCAAGTGTTTATTTTTATTTGAGACAGGGTCTCGCTGTGTAGTTCAGGCTGGCCTTAAACTCACTAGTTCCAGCTGGCCTTGAACTCACAGTGATCCTCCTGCCTCAGCATCCCAAGTGTTGCCCATGTGCTGAGATTATAGGCATGCCCCACCACGCCTGGCCCAGGTATTTATTTAAAATGTACATTCCTGAGTTACTCCAACTGGTGAATCTGAATCTGGGGATATGCTGAAAGGCTGTTTTATCAGTCCTTATAATTAGGCCCAGCACCTTGGTGGGGGGGTCCTACCTGTTCCAAGAGTTGGCTAAATTCACATGTGGGTATTTCCCAACACAGTTCCTATTAAATTCTAGGTCACTGTTAAATAATGCCTTAGTGGCTCTTATTAGTGACAGTAGACTGAAAAGCACCAGCCAATTCAGTATACAGCCAGGGGCTACAAACTCAAAAGCCTTTCAGGGAGAACAAATGTACGAAGCTTCACAATATAGGTGCACATGAAGACTGAAACAGAAGGAACTGTCTATTGAATATAAAGCTCCTATGTATAGAGAACTTCAACTACAAGTCTCTTCAAGGAGCTTACAACCTTGTTCTCAAGACAAAATGATCGAAACAGTAATTAAGAAAAGTCTTTGTTATGGTTTATACATTGTGTCAACTTGGGGAGTCTAGAGGTTTGGCTAAGTGACTCAGCAGGAAGCCAGGGTGCTTTGTATACATCCTGAGCCTGTGGAAGAGGAGGGCATGGAGATTATGTGACAGCTACACGCCCCTTAGGTGGGGGTAGCCTGTTTACAAAGTACGGCCGGGAAAGAAGCTGCTTGCCGCGATTCCTCCCTTTTTGCTCTGGCCGCATTGCTGTTAGGCTGCCATTCCCTCATTTGCTCTTGTTGCTTTGTTATCTTCTGCCTCGGAGCCAGCCAAGTAGGGACTGAAACCTCCACAAACTGTAAGCTAAATAAACCTTTCCTTCCTTCATTTTGGGCGTTGGGTATTTTGTCTCAGCAACGAGAGAAATGTAACCAAGACAGTCTTAATGAGTTTACACTCACTAAGTTTAGAGGAGGGCAATCAGGGAGAACTTCATGGTGACTCACAAGTTAAGGAGCTCTAGAAGGGTTAGAAGGACTACAGTGGTGAGGAATGCAACATGATGTTAGGGAAGCCAAGTTGGGTGTGGTGGTGTGCACCCATAACCCCATCCTTCCCCCATCCTTCTGGGAGGCTGAGACAGGAGGACCACAGGTTTGAACCCAACCTTGTCAACTCAACAAGACCTCTGTCTCAAAAAAAAAAAAAAGGGTTGGGGATGTAGCTCAGTATGAAGGCCCTGGGTAACGATCTTCAGTACTGTGGGATGTGTGTGTGTGTTTGGGAATGGATTAAGATGAAAGTAGTGCTTCCTGAACATAATTTGGCAGTGGTGACTAGGAGGAAACAAGAGAGACTCCATTGCAGTGGTGGTGAACCTATGGCATGTGCGCTGCAGTGCGATGTTTCTATCATGAAAAGCTCTAAAAACTTTGACATCCTTAGAATGGATAGGACAATTAAAAAGATATGTTAGTAGTTTCAGAATGAGGCTATTTGGGCCTGGATTACTATTAAGCCTGGGAATTACGAAGAAAATAGTACAAAAGGTAGAGTACTCAGAAGCTGATAACTGAATAGGGAAGTAAGATTAGAGAGAATGAGATCACAAAGATTTTTAGATTAAAGGGCACAGAGTCAAAGTTTATTTTTTACCTTCGCTAGAAATTTCTCTCCATGGATTTGGTGGGTACATAAATGCAGCATTTTGGATTTGGTCGTTTATATCTTCATCCTCATTGAATGGAAATGTGCCACTGAGGCTCACATAGACAATGACTCCCACTGACCACATATCTAGAGAACGGTTGTAACCTTTGCTCCTGAGAACCTCGGGGGCTAAGTACGCTGGAGTTCCTACTACTGATCTCCGGAATGACTTCTCACCAATAATGCGTGCGAATCCAAAGTCGCAGAGCTTCACCTGGAAATCAAGGGAGATGTTAATTTTATGTATGTAACTATGTATCAGGTAGGCCTGTCAATATGGTATCAGATCATTTCAATGCACTTGCCAACTATGCTGATTGTGAATACTAAGCAATTGTAGATAAGGGACCTGAAACATCCTTTTTCTAAAAGGAGGATATATCGATAGCTATGTGACAGTAACATAGTATAAAAAGCTTTCCTAATATTTACTTCAATAAAACTTTGTATTCTAGAATACAAAAATTTGTATTCCAGAATGCCAACTACCAGACTGGAATTTCAATGGTTCAATTCTTTCTTTTTTAAAGAAATGGAAAATGGTGATCTTTTATCATCTGTCTATTAAGGAGATCACTTTCTTCCCAAGGACACTATGTATTGAGACTGCTACAAGGAATAAGCGTTTTCTATTTGTGTGGGACAAATTATTGCTAGTTAAATACTAAGATTTGAAAAAAGTTGTGAAGGTAGCCATAGTCCCTCCTATGTCCTCGGAGGAAAAGAGTTCTGGAAGTATAATGAGCTCAGAACACTGACCTTGCTACCCATCTTTTTTGTCAAGGTTCAGATTTTGGTGCTTAATGACTGTATTTATGCTGAACAAGTAAATTCCAAGTACTTTCCTGAAGAAATGCTCTGACTCACAGAATGCTTCAGAAAAAGCATTAATTTCACAGAAAAGGTATTGGACCTCTAGAAAAAGTCGTACAAGTAACCATTGGGGTACAAAAAGGTAGAAATGTCATGCTGCTTGCTATTTCCCGGATATGGACTCTGACATGATTTAATGAAAGGTATTTGCTCTGCATCATTACTGAATTTGCTGCTTCTCTATTTGAATATTTCAAGAGTAGGAGTACAGACCCTGAAGAAATATTTTTTTTCTCTCTCTTATTAAATGCCACGCTTTAGATAACACCTTAATAGAGATGATTTAGCATTCTGGCAACTAAAGTATGGTCAGAGCTAGTACTTGAGCAAGAAAGATTATCAAGGGAATAACATTTTTTCCACTTTGCTTCTAATGGGAACAATGTGGATCATGAAAAGTAGAGATCAAGAAGTTGGGATTCTAGCTTTAGCCATGGGGTGTACATCCTTTGCCTATTCTATTTTGAAGATCAAATAAGATAACTTACAGAAAGTTTATTTAAAACATTGCACCAACTATTAGGGGACCTTTTCAAACCTCCCAATGATAAGGAATCACTTTAGCCACATAGGCTTTAAGAACATGGTTACTATTTTAAAAGTGAAATGTAGAATGATTTTTAAAAATACATTTTTTTCATCAGGGGTGAAGTCACAGCATCTATAATCTCAGGTACTTGACGCAGGAAGATGCCAAGTTTGAGGTCAGGCTGAGCAACATGGACTCCTGTCTCAAAATAAAATATAAAAAAGGTTGGGAATGTAGCCCAGTGGTATAGTGTCCCTGCGTTTGATCCCTGTTACTAAAAAAGCAAGCAAAACAAAATCAGTTGTTTCAAAATTGAGTTTTGATTTATTTAGCAGGTTAGGAAATAAAAAATTTAGCTGATCAAGATCAGCATGGTTTTAAAAAGTGAAACAACTGAATTAAAAATCAAGAGTATATCATACGTAGGCAGGACATACACGCACATACTGTCATACAAGTGAGCATTCCTGGTGATGGGAAATGTAATTCCTATGTTGCTGATGAAAATGTTTGAGTATAAGTACCCTAAACAAAACATGTTTTGGGTGCCTAGCTCAGTAAGTCCTTCATCTTCCATTTCAGGTAACATCTCCATTTGTTTTATGAGGAATTTATTCTGAGCACCAAGTACCATAAGGCTGATTCTTCCCACCTCGTTCTCAACCCATGGGGAGAAGTGAATTACAAAGTCTTCTGTGCAAAAAGTTACTCCTTGATATCTAGTTAAGTCTGAAAAAGTCTTAGTGAACATAAACAATATGATTAATAAAAAATTCAACTTAGTTAATCCTCATGTCCAGTTACAGACTAAAAATTTTATTTGTGTAAGATGAGATGTACTTTGAACCTTAGTACAGTGCCTTTTATTGTGTGGGCACTTTGTAAATGATGGAAATACACAAAATGACTCTTCAGAAGATTCTGGAGAATACCTTACCTGAGGAAACGGCTCTGCTGATGCAAGCAGCACATTTTCTGGCTTTAAATCACAGTGCACAATATTTTTAAAATGTAGATTCCTCAAAGCAACAAGTATCTGTAATTAAAGAACAAAGTAAATTTTTTTCCAAGGTCTGGAAAATGAATTAAACCCCAGTGTTAAGCTTTGAAAGGAGTAATAATGTGAAACTGCTTATCAAGGTTTAGCTAGAAATGTTATTTTGTTCTTCAAGGTTAACAATTCCCACAATCTCTTAATATGTAAAAGCACTGCTATTTAGTTCTCTTAGTTTTTAATTATTGCCCAGTTTCAGAAAAGAGTTAAAGTACCTGTGTGACCATGAATTTAGTAATTCGTTCTGGAAGCCGACTTTTCTCACTAGATAGAATCATTTCCAACATATCTCCATGTAGTTTTTCCATTACTACAAAGACACGTTCTGGAGTTTCAAACATACATTCTAGGTTTACAATCCCAGGATGGTGCAGATTCTGGAGACGGTGCGGGACAGTTAAATGACCAATTTAAGTAAAGAAACAGTTTTAATACATAGATGTAAGTAAAGTATACTCTTTTGTTTATCGTTATTCTTAGGGTTTTGGAATGATTTCCAAGAGCTGGGGAAAAGGCTAAATTTATACCACAGTGTTCAAACCACAAAGTTTCTAAGTTTCTGATAATATTTCCCCATTTAAATACTTAGCTCTGAGAATGCTCTATCTTCTCCCAATACTCTACTATATCCTCTTCAGGCAACAGCAAAAGAAACACTATATTACTGTATATCTAACGAACAAAAGCCCCTGCCCCTTCTCTGTGTCCTACAATGTGCGCCCCAGATAGAGTCATATTATTAATCAATGCAAGTTATAAATCTTTTTTTATATATAACGATAAATATACATATAATACACATTACTTTTTCAAAGTTACACAAATAGAATCACTGTACACTTTTTCATTTAAGAAGAGGTAGATAATTTCACACATAAACACATCACTGAATATTTGTCATGTGCCTTGTACTGTACAGGTAGTCTTGATTCATTACTAAAAATAAAACTGACAAAGTCCTGTCCCACGGAGCTCGCTTATTCTAGCAAAGTGATATAGACAATAGGGAACAAGTTAGCAAATTACTTAGAATGGAACTGGTAAGTGTAATGGAGAAAAGAAAATGAGTTAAAGTGAGGGAGTTACTGGGAGAGTGGGTTTAACGCTGCATGGAATGTGAGGGCTTCACTGAGGAAAAGCTATCTGGGGACACATCACGCACATATTTGAAGGAGAAAGCACTACAGCAAAGGGAAAAGCTCATACAAAGCCCTGGAGACAGGAGCATGTCTGGCATGTTTGAGAAACAGTAAGAAAGTCAATGCAGTCATCTGGAAAGAGACAGTTTACTGAGTGCAGTGTCTACAGTGGGACCTTTTAAAAATTTTCTTTGTTCTGCTTAATCATAATCACAGGTATACAAAAGTGGTATATGTTCATTTCTATTAAACTGACAGAATGCAGAGTCTATCACCAAGTGCTCGAGGAGATAGGCTAGATGTTCTACAGTAAACTATAAGACTACTTCTAAATCAATGATTCCACGGTATTTCCCCGTCCCTCCTACTAGAAAGGCCACAGCTGTGGTTTCAATAATAAACTCCAGCGTTTATCCTGTTCTTTCTTTTAAAAATGTAGACATGATGGCCAGGAGTGTTGGTGCACATCCTTAACTCCAGCACTTCAGAGGCTGATGCAAGAGATCGCTGTGAGTTCTAGGCCAGTGTGGGCTACAAAGTGAGTTTTAGGCCAGCCTGAACTGCATAAGGGAAACTGTCTCAAAAAGCAAAAAACAAAAAGATGTGGGCACGTGTCACTGGTTCCTGAGTCACTTGCTCAACCTCGCTTCTCTTTTCCTGGTAGAGGGCCGGGGGCTCTGAGCAAGAAGCAGGGACCATGTTCCCATGCAAGCTAACAGCTACCACAATCCTGCTGGCTTCAAATGCAAAGATGAAACAGAATTTAGGAACTTTACTGTCTGTCTTGAAAACCAGAAAATCAGACATTACAATGAAGATAGAGGTAATTTAAAAAACATCCACAGCAGTAACTGGCTCAACTTCTTTGAAATGTATCTCAGAGATGTTAAGGTGTCCTTTCAAGATTAACATGTCCTTAATCTTAAAAATGTCCTTTCAAGATTCAGTATAGTCAGGAAGCAACTGACTGGCTTCATGGTTTACATGTTAGACTTGAATATGGAGATAATGCTGAAAAATAAAGGAGTTAGTGTCTGATAATGCAAAAAACAAAACAAAAAAACACCCCAAAACAAAAACCTGACAATGTAAGGATGCAGAGCCATGGTAAATTTGGATGTAAGTACAGTAATTTCAACTTTAATTCTGACGTGATGGCTTTGGCTACCCTGTTTTACCTGGTAATGCTAAGGCAATTCATGTTTTATTTTTGGAGTACCTAACAGAGGATGTATTTGCTAAAGCCAAACAACTGTCTGTTGCTTTGTATATGTGCTGCTAAAGCGAGCACTTGTCTGTTACTGTAGATATTCTTGGTCATGACACTGGAGATGCAATGCAGTTCTTAATGAAGGTGCCCAAATTATGCAATTCCTGCACATGGAAGAACTCAGAGAGCTATAGACAAAAATTAATAAAGCCATAGTAGTTTTGCTGATCCAAACACAGATCACGGACTGGGGAAAACTGGAAGATGAACACTTCAGATTTCAGTTCACTTTAAGTACAAATGGGGCCTAGGTAAACTTCTGGCATGTATTTGGAAATCAGTTCCCACTTTTGAGGGGAGAATCCCAGAAAACTGACTGCTCTGGAGATTTACCACTACCACTGTTTTTTTTCTTTAGTAAAGTTTAAGAAAGTGGGAATAAAAAGATGTGGGTGTGGGAAAGATAAGCTATGGATGCCACTGGTGCTGCAGGTGAAGATAACAGCACCAAGGTCAGCCACAGGGTTTCAGCCAGCCTTTTAGGTTTACTTGGTGAGGAGTACACATAAGAACATAACAGGGTGAAGAGAAAAAAGCACAGATGATATATAGTTGGAGGTGGAACAGAAAGCCAAAAGGTGCTGAGTGTAAGAGTGCAGTTACTGCCCTTCAATCCATGTGAAAAACTCTATCTGGAATGCTCATATGACTAAATCTTGGGGAACTAATTTCAGTAAATAAGGTATGAGTTGTAAAAACTCCCATCTAAAAATGTATTTATTGTGTGAATTTGGACGTGTTAAACAAAATCACAGTATTTCAATATAAAGTAGGGCAGAAGTTCACCTTTATACTCCACAGATTTTGTTGAGTTTACACACTGCCTAAGAACACCTGAGTCACAATTTTACATGAGCACACACACAGAATAGGTCCAAGGACATAACAAATGAGCATGTAGTTTGGAGACAGATTCAGAGCCTGAACCTGGCTAGTTCTTACTGCATAGTATTGAGAAAAAGTACATTAAGTACAGCTTCTAGCACAAATTAAGCCATTTACTAAACAATGTTTATGTAACAAGTTGAAGGGAATCTACAACAAAGAATGCTACATCAAATTTAGTAGGAAAATAGTATATTTAGAGACACTATAATCATTTAATTCTATTTCCTGTTGGGCAACATTAATGAAAATAATCAGAAGGATGTAACTGTTTTTCAACTGCATTAATTGAAAATTCCTAAATTTAGTTATTATCTACAATTAATATACAGAAGAAGGTACCTTTTTACTTAGTCTAGAGTTGTATTTGTGATCAAAAGTATCAAGAAGAAATCAATTCTTAGGAATATATTTGTAACTTTTTTGAGTACTAGCTGGACAGTAAGATTCTAAAATTAAAAATGCAGAAATATCTTAACAATACATTCATATGTTAATATAGCGTCTAATGCTATTGCTATCCCATTTAAAGATAGCTTTACAGGAGAAGGCAGGCTTGATGTGATCTTAGGTACCTATGGACCATAAAGCAAACAGAACTGGTGATTAATAATGTAATAAATGTAATATAATTTCATTTCTCAAGATTTTTTCTTCAATGAACCATAAGTGCAGTAGGCTATGTCTTCTTAAATTTCACCCACAAGTAAATGGGAGTCTGACAGCATTAACTATTATATGACCATGATTTCCTAAATAATATGCAAAAGCTATGCAATGAGTTAGTATTTCTGCATATGATCAATATTTATATGACATTCAGACAATGAGCTAAGGCTCAAGCTAAATTTTAGTTTACTAGGTGACCCTCCAACAGAGTTAAAAATGTTAGATGAAAGAAAAACATGCAGGGGCTGGGGATTTAGCTCAGCGGCACAGCACCTGCCTGGCAAGCACAAGGTCATGAGTT